ATATATATATATATATATATATATATATATATATATATATATATATATATATATATATTATGTATATATATATGTGTGTGTGTATATATGTGTGTGTATATATAGGTATTTGTACATACATGTATACGTTTATGTGGTTCTAGCATGTGTTGTATACTGCATTTGTTTTATTGAATTTTTTCGTTTTCCTCCATTTGTTTGTTTTCTTCTGTTTGTTTATTTTATTTTATTTTATTTATTTTATTTTATTTTATTTATGTTATTTTATTTTATTTATTTTATTTTATTTTATTTATTTTTATTTTATTTTGTTTGTATATATTTCAGAACGGCTGTCGGTGCGGCTTACCCTGCTTACATTTTGGGGCATCTGAGGAGCTCCGGCCTGACGACTGTCATTCGCCAGGTTCGTAGGGTTTAGGGTTTAGGGTTTAGGGTTTTTAGGGTTTAGGGCTTGTAGGGTTTGTAGGGTTTAGCGTTTAGGGTTTGTAGGGTTTAGGGTTTAGGGTTTGTAGGGTTTAGGGTTTAGGGTTTAGGGTTTGTAGGGTTTAGGGTTTAGGGTTTAGGGTGTTTAGGGTTTAGGGTTTAGGGTTTTTAGGGTTTTCAGGGTTTAGGGTGTTTTAGGGTTTTTAGGGTTTAGGGTTTAGGGTTTAGGGTTTTTAGGGTTTTTAGGGTTTAGGGTTTAGGGTCTAGGGTTTTTAGGGTTTAGGGTGTAGAGTATGTGTATGTTGTTTTTCTGTACTCTGTGTGTTTTCTTGTTCATTCGTCTCTTGTTTTTGGCCTGCCTTCGTCTTTTTTCTCCTTTTTTCTTCTGCGTGCATGCATGCATCCATGCATGCATCCAAGCATGCATGCATCCAACCATGCTTGCATGCATGCATGCATACATGCATGCATCCAAGCATCCAAGCATCCAAGCATGCATGCATGCATGCATGCATACATGCATGCATCCAAGCATACAAACATGCATGCATGCATGCATGCATGCATGCAAGAAAGTATTGATAGATGTGTATGTGTGCGTGTGTGTGTGTACTGTATAGACAATACTGGACATTCGTTCTTTGGGTCCTCTACACCAGGCTGCTCTAGCTGGCCCGGTGACGGCGGTGCGAGAGGATGTGAAATCTTTGTATGAGTGGCTGAGCGGGGTGGGGCCCTCGTGGCCTATAACGAGCAGCGTGGGGGCCCTGATGGGTTTGCTGCTGCATTCATATGAAGATGCTGCGCTGCAGCAGCAAACATGCAGAGCAGCAGCAGAAACTCTGATGCTTTCTCCCTCAGACCCTATGCTATCTTATGCTGGTTTCTTTTGTAAGATGTATCCACAAACATACTTTCCTCACTCAGCAGGAAAAGAAGAGCTCGAGGCCCTCACACTGTCTGTGGGGCTGACGCTGCGTGGCTTGCTGGGCGGCAGCAGCAGCGAAGAGGAGAGAAGAGGGGGGGGGAGAAACATAAGAGAAGAAGAGGAGGAGGAGGAGGAGGATGCAGCAGCACACTCATTGGCTGTGTTCGATGAAACTTTGGGGCTGAGACGGAGNGATGGTTGGTCTCTTATGCGGCCTTTAGAGGATGTAATAAACAGCAGCAGCAGGGGAGAGGGAGATACAGAGGAGGGAGAGAGAAGAGATGATGCTCTCTCTGCTTCGGCTCTAGGCGATGAAGGGCTCAGCACAGCAGACGCCTCACCCTCACCCTCAGCCTCACGCACAGTAGACCCAGTCGAAGCATTTGCTTCGCTCCAGCAGCCACACATGGACCTACCAGGACCCTCCCTGCAGCAGCAGCAGCAGCAGCAGCAGCAGCAGCAGCGAGAGGGGGTTGCAGGGGAGGAAGCAGATGCTGCAGCAGATGCAGAGGCAGCTGAGGCAGCGGCTGCAGCAACTGAAGGTTCCTTCATTCCCTCGTCTGGTGAGGGAGAGTTTGATGCCGTTGCAGCTAAAGAGCAGCAACAAGGCAGCAGCAGCAACACTGCTGCTGCGACACATGATGGTGCAGCAGAACCTCTTATAGAGAAAATACGCCAAGAGTTCGAGCAGCAGGCGAGGCAGCAACGACTCCTCCTGCGCCGCATGGCCGCTCAACAGAAGCAGCAGAGCCGCATGCAAGAGCAGCAAGCGAAACTGCTCATGCAGCAGCAGCAGCAGCAGCACCAGCAGCAGGTGCAGCAACAGGCACGCGAACAGCAGGATGACGTTGCGGCCCCGCTGCTGCCCCCCTATGAGAGCGACGCCCATGAAGCTTCCACCCTCCACAAGCAGCAGAGTTCAGAAGGCCCCTCCTCCTCTGGCTCTGCTGTGCGTGCTGAGGAGCAGCAGCAGCAGCAGCAAGCATCAGAGTCCTCATCTGTGGTGTTTCCTGGTATTAATGCAGCCCACGAAAGCGATACTGCAACCCGGCGTCTGCTGCTGCAGCAGCAGCTGTTGCAGCAACACCAGCAGCAGCGGCAGCAGAGTCTTCGTGGCTATGGTGACTTTGTGTATAACTCTACGACGCAGCAGGAAAGCGAGCATGCGAAGCTGAGACAGATGCTAGAAGAACAATATGGACCTTTATTCCTTAATATTGCTGGGCTACTCCTCAGGGATTCCACTCTACACGACCTCATCACCGTCGCTGAGTGGCACTTGAACCCCGAAACCCACAAAAATTTATGCAAAGAACGAAGGTTTTCGCTGTTTGTGCGGACTGGTGATCCAGGTTCGTTTCTTTGTTTTGCTTGTTTCGTTGCTTTGGCTTTTTGTTTACGTCTTGTTCTTGTATTTGTTGTGTTTCACTTGTTCTGTTTGTTGTATCTGTTTTTTTTTTTTTTGGTTTCTCTGGATGTGTTCGTTTTGTTTGTTATGCTTGTTTTGTTTGCCTTGTCTTTTTTCTTCGTTTTGTGTGTTTTTTTCACTCCGCCATATTTGAGTTCGATGATATTCATATCATCAGATTGCCCGTCTTCGCTCTCACTGCATCTTTCTTTTCTCGTTTGAACCTGTATATCATATATGTAATCATGTATTTATTCATGTAGATGCATTTGTACATGGATAGATCTGTATTTCAACGCGTTTCCATGTTGGTACGGGACATGGAGAAAGGGTCAAGATCAGGATGATAGATACAAGTATATGTACATAAGTATTTATGCTTTTGCGTATTTGTTTGTTTGTGTTTTTCAGGGCGATACCGCCTGATGATAACTCCAGTAGAGTCCTCTCATCGTCATGCTATTGACCAAATGATTCCGTATGAGTCTGATGTTGGGATAGAAACCTGGAGGAAAGCGTTGGAGGGGCTCAAGCAGTTTCAGCGTCTGTTTATGGCGCGTGTATAAAATGTAGATGATATATTTTGAGCAAATTAATTAATTTATTCATTAGTGAAAATTCATTAATGAATTTATAAATCAATAGAGTTGTTTACGCACTCAACGATACAAAAATGCACACGAATACGTATGCAGCGGTATCCGAGCAAGAAAGTAAAACACATAAAAGTGTACAAATTTGCTTGGTATCCGAGATGAATGAATAATATATTATTAAAATATTTCAAATACTTTATAAATTATATATATATTATATATATATTGAATATTCTTTATCGTGGTGGTGATGAAGCGTTGCATATCTCGGTGAGGGTAGTGCTGTGTTGCACAGGAGGTTCGGCGCAACTCTGATTTTTTGTTTGCGCGTGAAGGTGTTTTGTTAATTTAGTATTCAGGTGGATTTCTTGTGGATTCTCTTCTTCAGTGACTGTGTTGGCCTGCAGCGGCTCGTTCAGTGCGTTGAGGTCCACTGGTGTAGTGATTGCCCTTCATCAGATGCTTGCAGCAGGTGTTGTTTGCTTGTTGAACCTAAAGAGCGGCGCGTATGCCGTAATTTACTTGTGTAGAGAAGCAAAATAGAGCTTTTCTATATATTCTTTTAAGTGGAAATGTATTACTCTTGTGATAGCTAGCTAATGCTTGCTTCGAGCTCTTCTTGCACAGCTCTGACCGAAAGTTATGAGGCTTTTCTGATTTTTCCAGTCTCCTGGCGTAATCCTTTCTCCGCAGTTCTTACTCCGCTGGACTAAGGCATTTTACCTTATTACAGAATAATAAACTTTTGTTTATTATTTATCTTATAAATAAGTATATAAGCACCTCCATGAGTATGCTGAGGCCGTTTCGGCTGAAACACAGTCCAGAGGCCTAGTGGAACTTTTCCTTCTCTTGCACTTCGTAGCATCGGTAGACAGGTCTGAGACATAGCTCTCACGAATTGCCCCACTATCCCCGCATCAGCGCTTACTGCATAGGCAACATAGCTGAACGTATTCATTCTGTATGCAGAGGTACGGGGGCAGCGGAACTGCGAGGCTATCTGCCCTCATTGCAGGTGGACCGATTTTTACAGTACAGATGCGACTTCTGTGAACATTCAAAGTGTATCCAGCGCGTAACATGAGATACTATGGCAGCAGCTTGCACCGCTTGCTACGAACCTGACGGCCTGACAGGGAGTTATGTGCTTTGCCGCCCCTCAGGCAGAGTGGCGCGCCGCATGATCTATACACAAAGTTTGTTGTGTTTGAATATAGAATCACTTTTTATTGAAGAACCGCATTTGATATGGAATGCAGAGCGCCAGCTGTGGCTGAGCTCTCCCGGACGTGCAGTGCGAACGACCACTGTAAATGAAGCAGCAAACGGCGTTTATTTGGAACCATTCACCGAAGCTGATGAAAACAAGTCAGTTAATTAACTAGTTAATGTTTTTTAGAGTTCTTAAAAAACTTGATCAGAGCAGGCCAGTGCCTATCCAGAGCAGCTGCCCGCGCTCAACCGTCTCAGCAGGTGACCCCGTCACCCTACCTGTACTGCTGAACACAGTGTGAATGAAGCAGCAGATGAGTGCCTCCCTAAGAAAATATAAAGCCCCATTTAACTTCGGATTACCTCAATAAAGTTTCAATTTGGAGTCCAGAAGACTTCATTTCCGCTGAGTTTCTCCATTCAGCTTTCAACTGAGGTGAGCGAGCACATCTCACATGAACACAATGCCGGTCCAGCGATCCCGAAACTTTCTGCAGAAACTCCGCCCAATTTCGGCAATTTTACCCTTCCCCTTTTCAATATTCGTGTAAATTCAGTATAATAAAATGCTCGAACCAAAGCTGCATCTAAAAACTTTGCGGGGGGAGGGCGGCAGAAGCAGCTGCTCCGAGAGGTCTGTTACGCGCAGGATATGCTCATAGATATGTTCGTAGGTAGATGTGTGTCTACTCATTCTAAACGTCCTACCGCAGTGAAATATATGAAGGAGAAATGTATTAAGGGTATTCCATCCATTTGGCCATGAAAACTGGGGTTTTCTGTATGTTGGTTTCTCACTTTTGCATTTTGCATAGAGTAGTTAGTTGGGGTCCCGCGTCGCTAGAACACCTGTGAATGCATGCATGCATGTGTGTGCAGCAGCAGGGTGAACATTTTTTTCTTCGTATTGCCTGCACTGGATATTAGCTTTACCGGAAATGGCGGGGAGGGCAGCCCGTGCGCTGCTGCTCACAGCAGCAGCTGCANGCAGCTGCAACAGAAGCAGATACAGCAGATGCAGCAGTTTTAAGAGAAGATGCAGCAGTAGACACTCCTGTGAGCCCTCTCTCCCCAGGTGAGTTCAGCATACTTTGCCTCTCGCTTCTACTACAAGCCATGTTGCTGTTTCTACGTCTAACACTGACTCTTATAGATCATGAAACCATAAACCCTAAACCGTGAATCTCAAAAAATCATGATAAAGGACGGGTCATGTCTACCGCGGTCTGTGCAGAACCCTCAGAGGAAACTGAAGAATCAGGGTCCCCGCAACGTTTCATTGGAGCTGCCATCGATGCACTAACCGGCAACGCATTCTCTCTGGATCCCGTTGGTGAGAATGAGGCCCGGGATGAGTGGGTTGTGGTGATGGTGCTGCAGCTGCTGTTTATTTCTACTACCTTGTCGTTGCTATTGCTGCTGTTGATGCATCCGCTGTAGCATCCTCTGTTTTCTGATCCCTTCAGTTCTCTTTCTGTCTTGTCTCCTCAGAGATGCATGGAGGGTTCTTCTCTCAAGAACCAGAACCACTTTCTGATGCTGCTGTTGAAAAACTACCTATTGATGATGAGAAGTTCGACTTCATCATCGTTGGCGGGGGGGCTGCTGGCTGCGCCGCCGCTGACATCCTCTCCCAATGTTGGTTTTGTTGCACTGTTCAGAAATTTTACTTTAGCAGCTTGAATTTTGCTCACAAATTTTATATTCAAATAAAATTATAAAGTAATTATAAAGTAATATCGCACAAATGTTTTCCTTTTTATATGTACGGATAGCACATCACTGTTGTTTACTAAAGGGTTCTTAAGTGACTGAAGGGCTGCTTCGCGTGTTTCCTCGAGATGTTTCATTTCTCCTATTGTATTTGTATATAGATATATGCATGTGTAGAGAAAAGTATATGAGAAAATACAATATACATGTATAGATTGTGTATCTTTCCCTTCGGTGTTTCTCAGCTGGGAAAAAGGTTCTTCTTCTGGAGCGTGGGATGCAGAGAACCAGGTTCACAGCACCAAACGCAATGAGCGCCAGAGGCGCAGGTGAGGTTTTCTCGCCTTTCCTCGCTGTATTTGCAGCGCGAAATACTATATATATATATATATATATATATATATATATATATATATATATATATATAGGCAGCCACTCCTTGTCTAGACAGAGAAAGGAAAGAAATATATTCATTGTATTTTCTGTTACTGCTACTGCTACTTTCTCAGGAATCGGCCTTGCCGACGCGACTATTTCTCAGCCTGTCGGTACAGTGCAAGGTGTTCGTACATTCTCTGGGGCCGTAATGGGTGGTGGCAGTGCTGTGAATTTGGGTATAGTGATTGGCGAGACAGAGGATTACTTCAAGGAGATGTCGCGTCAGTTTCCTGGATATAACATCCAGTATGACAGGTTGAAAAGGGTGCGTCTCCGCATCATTAGCAAATAATATCCCTATTTGTGTTTCCTTTGCTAACAAAGGGGGCAGTGTAGAGAGAGATATATATATGCTCACCAGATTAAGAAGATCGATTCGGTACATTTCAGCAGGAGTTGCACGTGTACAGACACCACAGCCTTCTCTGTATGGATGCATGCATGCATGCATGCATACAGGCCTACGAGTACGTTGGGTGGAAGGTTGCGAGGGCTATGCCCGTTCTCCCCCCCTTCGGCAATGCGTACAGCGACGCACTGACAGCGACAGGATACAGGTACTGGGGGGGCGGCAGCTATCCCCAACCCAGTTTGTTTGTACAACCAGGTTATCAGTGGGTGGGATACTCGCTCTTTGATGCGGGAAACAACTTTCAGAGAAACGCCTCTGATGCACTCCTTGAGAAGACGCCAAACCTCCTCATCAAGACGCGTCACACCGCTAGGGTCCGCCAGCGGATGCACCTTAAAGATGTTAATCCAAAAAAGGGATTCAATAGCTATTGTGGTTGCATGCATGCATGCATGCATGCATGCAGAGAAAACAGTGGTGGCTGTGCAAATGCAAACACTCGCGAAATGCCGCTAACCAGCCTGCCTCTTGCTGCCGCCCACAGTCGGCATGCAGCCTGCCTGTGAAACAGCATATAACCAGTATCATAATATATATATTGTTGACTGGAGTAAAGCCACTTAGTACGCGATGCAACGCCGCCCCATGCTGCTGCTGTTCTGTGATTGTTTCAACGCAGAAAGTGACCTTCATCGATACACCCCAAGGAAAGACAGCAAACTGCGTCGTCTATAGACCCACCAAGTACCAGGACATCCGACCTATTGGGGACTTGTGGAGTCTTTTCCCTTCTTCTGCTGCAGGTGTGCAATGCGAGCTCACCACAGAGTTCGTTTCAGATGCAATATGATGCGCATATGCATACATGCATCCTTGCATGCATACATGCATAGCTCGCTCTCTGCATCCAACTTCTTTCCTGTTTCTTGTCCTCTTGTAAGCCACTGCTTAAACACCTAATTGCCGCTGTTGCTGCGAGCAGACTGGGCGCCGTGGGTTGGTTCCTTCTTAGAGCCAACTTCTGTGCTGACAGCTGCTGGAGTCGATAAACCCAAGTCCAACTACCGTCGCGTTTGCCTCGCGAACCCTGGGAAGGGTCGCATTGTCCTCAGCGCTGGAGCTGTGCACACACCCCTTATCCTCTACCGATCAGGTGCTGCTCATGGATATTTCTTGAATTTGTTGGTTGTGAAAATCTTGGCTTCACAGCTTTATCGCTCTTACACATCCTAGTCGTAGTAGCGGTACACCGGATCCAGTTGTTATTTAAAGAGGGTGCGAATGCGTGCTTGCACTCTCTCCAGGCATCGGCCCAGCGATTCAGCTCAGCTTGTTGAAGGTACCGCAGGTTCTAGAGAACCCCGCCGTTGGATCCGCGTTCTCTGATAGAGTCTTCCTCTCTATTCCTGGCTTTCTGAAACACTACACCGACTCCATTCCCCTGATTAACCCCGTCAGGTCTTTGAGGCGTCTGGCAGCCAACGAGGATGCTGGGTCCCAGAATGTGACGAAACTGCGTTTGCTTTCGCGTCCTTCTTACGAGCCAATTTTGTCTCAAGAGCAGCTTGAGAAAGCGATTACACCCGAAGTGCGGGAGGCGGTTGAGAAGATTCTCAACCAGAGCATGCCAGTAGAAGTCATAACCATCGACGAAGACGATGACCCTTCTTTCCGAACGGGATTCGATCCGCCTGTGCTCTTCCCTGATAACCTCATGTTCCCCGGGCCGCTGCACTATCTTGCACCCGCTCTTCAGCCTCGTGTCTGCCAGTTCATGGGTCTGAGGTACATGGGTCCTCACTGCAAAGGACCAAGGTATGGCTGGGAAACCAACAGAAGGGCTTCACAGCAGTTGAACCGCCTAAGCAGCTTCCTCATCTGCATTCGGATGGGTGTCCTGCAAAGTGTGTGCAAGCTTTGCGAGCCGCCTGCTGCAGGATCAACGAACGCAACCTTGGGTGTTCTCTTGTAACAATGGAGGAACTCTCTGGTGACCGACTCGCTGAAGGGTTTATCTATGCTTCTCGGTACATGTTTCCCACCGCGTTCCGCAAGGATCCTATCCTGGACGCTATGACTGAGATTCTGCAGGGGTGTTCCAACTACCGGGCTCCCTTCGGGCTTGTTCTTTTGAAGCCTCTTTGTGTGATCGCNTTCTGCAGGGGTGTTCCAACTACCGGGCTCCCTTCGGGCTTGTTCTTTTGAAGCCTCTTTGTGTGATCGCTCAGCCCGTTATAAAATGCCTCAGGTGAGCAACAACTCAATTCTTTAGGAAAAGAAGAAACGGATTTTTGCTCAGTGCACCAAAAGGAAGAAAATAATTTCGAAGTCCCTTAGGCAGTGCGAACCGCGTTCAAACAAAGGGATTATGATTATCACAACTCGTGAATGTGCTAATCTTATTCGCCTGGAGCGGCTGGTTCCCAGTTCTTACGACGCAGCATGTACCCATCCCTGCGGTTTCTCAGCATTGCTTGCGGGTCAGGATTAAATGTTTACGTTGAAAAAGTTCACTTCGCCTGCGCAGGAAGGCCGTTGCTCCTTTCTACTTCACTTCTG